ATCAGTTTCCTCCTTAAGAGCTAAGATTCCACTTACGTATCCGGAATAGTTTCATAAAAATCAAGGAGATTTCGTCACAAAGGAATTACAACATCTGAGTCGTCAGAGGTGTGGAAATTTCCACGGTTAGTTACAAACAATAATACAATATACATAGTGACTAGAGGCTACAGCATACTTTGGAGATAAGTCATGACTTCCAAGGTCAAGTCTACCACCAAATAATTCAACCTCACATGGTATGGTATTAAGTAAAAGGAGTAGAATAATCAAACATCATGTCATTCGTTAACCCAATAATAAGCTCCGCGGGACAGTTCGACAGGAGGTCCCCAAATTCTAGAATTAGCACACCAGCCACAAATTGGATGCCATGAGCATCTCAAACAGCATGGATGATCAGGTTCAGAAGGGCGAATCTCACAAAAGGAAACCACAACAACTACCCCAACTGGGAACCAACATCCAACTCCAAATAAGACCCGGAAAGTACCACACCACGACCAGGGCTACAAGCACAAGCACAAAATTATCCGGATCCAGCGCCACCCCCACATACCTTCCAGAAACCAAGCGCAACAACTGTTCATTGAATCAAACAATTTGTTATTAGTGAAGGAGGTTTCATACTTGGCCATGGGCGTCACGGAGTTGTTGGCCGCGCGCAGCCCCTTGGTCCTGGACGCTGCTGGTCCGAAGGCAACGCGGCTCGTACCCTGCGGCCCGCGGGCGAGACCTCCCCGGTGAGCAGCCGCGGGCGACGCCGCCGCGGCCTTGGTGCCCAGCTTGGAGGCCATCGCCACCTACCACCTCCACCACGAGCACCTTAATTCGGGACGCTCGCAGGAAGTGGGGGAAAGAGCATGTTAGGCCAGGAAATGCCGGGGGTTTTATTTGCAGAGGAAGGTGGACGTGGGCGGAGGGAGGGAGTGGTAGGTGGGGAGGGGCCGAGACCGTGGCCCATGGGGACGCAACGTGACGAGAGACTCCAGTCTGCCAGTCGTGGCCAGACAGGCGACCAGGAGGATGGGGAAGAGGGCGGAATCATGGATCCAGCCATCCAGGGGGGCAACCGGGCAACGGCGTGAAGAAAAAACGGCTCGAGGGTAGGTTGGCCTTTGTTGGGCGGTCAGACGCGCGGGCGTGCCGTCGTGGGCTGGTTCGCTTTTCTTATAATCCATATTTTTTAGTTTAATTTTTTAGTCAAAATAGTATTTTTCTCAAACAACAAATCAGCCAAAATAGTATTTCGACTTATTTTTTCAGCAAAGCGAACGGGGCCGTGAAGTTGGATGCTTGGATGGCGTGGGCGAGGGTCTGATAGGGTGGTAGCAAGCGCTTCTGATTTGGTGAACCTTGGGCGGCGCTTGGCGCTTGGCGCTGCCCGTGCCACTAGCCGGGTCGTGGTGGCTTGAGTGCGAGCATCCCCGCCTTCGGGCCAGGAGTGGTGGCATCACCATTTTCACCTTTTAATTACAAGTGTGATAATTGACGAGGATGGACAGAGGCAGAGCCAAGATTCACCTACAGAGGGTTCCAACTTACAGAGCATCGACAATCTTGTTTGGATTGGATCTTACCAACGCGCGTAAAATTAAGATTTGTAAACACATAAGGTCATCACGCACAATGAAGACAAAATGCTGAAGGTGTTTGAGTCATGTCACAATGAAGACAAAATGCTAGTGTGGTGGTTCAAAATTAAGGTAAACACAGAAGTCACGCATAGTGACAATGCTAGCTTTGGACAATCCTGTTTGGATACTGACCGTGTGGTTCGTAAAATTAAGGTAAACACGTGTAGGTGAGTTCACGCAAAATTAAGGTAATCTGAAATGATAGCTCGTGTGGTTCGTAAAGTTAAGGTAAACATGTGTAGCTGAGTCACTGTTTGGCGAAATTAGGATAGTGTCGACAACCGTAAGTAAAATTAAGGTCGCCGTTGAAACACGTGTAGCTGAGTCACGCACAGTGAAGACAAAATGTTGGCAGATTATAGCTTACAGAGTGTCGATAATCCTGTTTAGATTGGATCTTACCAACCGTGTGATTCATAAAATTAAGGTCATCGTTGAAACACGTGTAGCTAAGTCAGGTAAAATGAAGACAAAATGTCGGCACAATAGATCCTTTGGTGTGATTGTTCGTTACTCTCGTGGCCAACATTTTGTACTGTACCACAATGAGATCTAGATGTCTGCTTAAAAACTATCCACTTTGATAAATCATCTTGAATCTCTTCGTCCTAGAAAAATGCTAAATGTCTAAACTGAAGATTAAAAAAAAGACATTACTCATAGATCAGCAGTTCACAATATATCTATTTTATTTAGACACTTAACATTAGAAAATCAAGAGATGTGTTTGAGAAAACACTATACAATTGATTGCCCCCACCCTTGCCTCGGATGGTAACCACGCGCGTGGAAATCACCTAGGTGGTTTCTATATTAATAATTAATATATACATGCAGCTAACTATGGTATTATGGCACTCTCAACACAAAAACCAAATGGTTTGTATAGACATTAATTAGTGTGCTAACTAAAAGAGATACTGATGTGACATTATAATTAGTGAAGAGAGAGAATGAATGGTTTCTTATATAAGAAACTACGTCTACATGAAAACCAATATAAGAAGATATATGATTGGTATGGTATAATCTACACCCTCCGTCCTCTAATATAAAGAGCCAAAGTTCAAATTTGTACAAAATACAAGGTATTCTAGGTCCTTGACCCCTACTCTCCTCTGTCTTTTTTGGTAGGAAATTTTGAGATTCCTTTTAAACTTAGCATCATCCAAAACAACCAGCATTAATTAAGAAAAATAACAACTGAACTACTACCTCCATCCTAATTAGTGAGGACAAAGTGGTCTTTTGCCAAGCACCTTATTTTGTCTTAAAATCACTTAAACGAATCCCTATTATAGAACTAAAGGAGTAGAAGACATTTGATTGAATAAAAATTAATTTTGAAGAAACTATTCAGTGAAAAAATGTGATATCTATATGTAGTATCTACTTGACTTTGTAAGTATGAAAACTATTTCATAGTCTTTGGGTTGAGACTATCCTTAGTTATATTAACGGGAAGAAATTAGTAAATAGCTAACTGTTAGCTAAGTGGTAGACTCGAAGAAGACAAACTGGCTTATTAGTTGAGGATCAAAATAAAATCTCAACTAATTTTTAGGAACAAATTGTAAGTTGTATGAATCTAAATAGGTATGAATATAATTTTTAGCTAATTATTAGTTGAGTAGTAGATATAAGTAAGACATTAATTGGTTTAGTAGCTACTCCAGGTGGTGTGGGACCTAAATAGGTCCGAATATAATTGATTTACCATAACGTTTTATTGTCTCACTTTTGGCTCGACAGTTCAATTCCCATAACAATTAGGGAAAACCCATTATCTTAAACAAAGAATCATTTTGTTGCAAAGTCGCTCAAATATTAACTGATTGTGTGATTTCACAAGCTATATATGAACACAAGGGATTAATTCAGGGTTTGCTACTACTCTGCATAGGATGGAATATTCTACATGGTTTTTGCAAATAAAAAGGAGCCCCGGAGCCCCTAAGGTTTGTCGGTTGAGCCACGCAACGCCTCGCACTAGCCCTCCGCCACGACAAGGTCCATCTTTGCCCTTCGACCAAGATGCTAGAATTATGAATGTAACCATAACCGAAAAAAAAAGTTAGCACCACATATTTTGGTACTTGCCGCAACTGATTTTAGTACTATCCTCACCTATTTAGTACATTTATGTACTTTTACATTGGTACTTCCTATTTTTCTATCGTCTGATCTCGTCGAATGGATGGCTTATATTTTTTTTAACCATCGTAAAATTTCTCATATATAGATCATGACATGGTAACTCGTGAAGGAGCAGTGCTAATTTTCAACAGTTCCAATGGTGTAACTTTTCTGACCACCGCTCGTGTAAAAAGAAGGGAATCCGCGCCGTTTCTGCGCTCCATCTTGGCAGTCACAAAGAAATGTAGTCTTCAGCTCTATTATGATTGTATCTTTTCCCCAAAGAAAGGTTAGCACAAGCAGTCAACGGAAATTGTTATTTCCACATCATTCCATGATAGCAGAGTCCAAACAACTACGGCCTTGTTTAGTTTCTCACCCTAAAGAGTTTACTCCCTGTCACATCGGATGTTTAGACACATACATAGAGTATTAAATATAGACTAAATAATAACTAATTGCACACATTACGACTAATTTGCGAGACGAATTTTTTAAGCCTAATCAATCCATAATTTGACAATGTAGTACTACAATACATATGCTAATAACGGATTAATTAGGCTTCATAAATTCGTCTCACGGATTACTGAGAAATTCTATAATTTATTTTATTATTACTATCCAAAACTCTCATATAACACCCCGATGTGACATCCTAAACTTTACTCCCTAAATTTAAACACCGCCTACATGTGAAGCCTTCGCGTAAGTTATTCGAGATTCCACAGAAGTTGCCAGTATTACATATGCACAATTGTCCATCAGAGGGTACAGTACAGAACTAGATAGATCTCGGAGAACTATACACAGAACATCCATAGGGATATTTTTTTTTCTTTCTTCCTTTCTTTTATTTTTCGTTTACATTTATCGATGGTATAACGTAAAACCAAGGCACATGTAGCATGGCTTAATCGATTGGTGACAGTAAAACTCTAAAAAAATAATCTCCGATCTGAAAGGTTGAACGGCATATACAGAGGATAACTGCAGGTTACTGAGGATGCCTAGTTCGCCAACGGTTGTCTTGTCTTACATCTGCCATCTCAAGCTGTACCAGATAGTTCATCACTTCGCATCTCAGTTGGTGGCGGTGAATAAAAATGGTTCCAAAACACCTCTAGCAACATGAAGACACTGCATAGACAGGAATTAAAGCTAAGTTTGCAGGTCAGTTTGATGATGCACAAATACCATTTTAAGTGATACCTTGCCCTTCAGGCTTCAGCTATTTGTGTTGCCATCGTTGTCACTTTCATCTCCAGAAGCTTCATAACGTGGCTGGTCATACTTCTCACGGAGCTGCTTGATAGGGATGAAATCCCCAGCTGTGTCCTCACCGTAAAAGAGAAATTCAATGTAGGGGTGATCAAACCTTCCCTACAGTACAAAAAGGGAACACTATTACTTAAGCTCAACAAGTACAAAACCCGAAGTGTTGAGCAACAATCATATGAGGAACATATACCCACTTTTTCTGATTCTTCAGCTGGAGAAAGATTCTCTTCTGCGACTGAAATTCAAAACTGAAATATCAAAACTGCACAAGTTTCTTTAAAGGTGCATGTATCTTCGATAATGAAAACTGTGGAATAGCCTCTATCCTGTTTCAATTTCCATGCACACTTTGATTCATAAAAGTTCATTTTAGATATAACTATGAAATTGTCGAATCATAACAAGAGATGCATTATTTTATCTGGCAATGCCAAATTTAAACCCTCAATTGCATATATTAGAACAACTATTCTTTTTTCTTGAATTAGATGGAGGGGTGTGTGTCAATGTATTAATAGATAGTGGAATGGTTCTTGTACGCTGCCCCTTGGGGAGAAGTGAAAAAAGGAAAAAAAAAAGATCTCTAGATTAACATGTGCATCAAAGGAAGAGAGAACAATTGGCCAAACTGGGAACAAAAAATATCAACTAACAAAAAGAAAGAGGAAAGCATACCATATGCAACCAGCAGTTCTGGATCAACATAAACATCAACCAGGACCTGAAACATTAAACAATAAATTAAATAGCATGCCAAAGTCTCAAAAGACCAGAAACTGAAACTGATAATGAAGAATCAGCTCACAATGCATTGCTACATACTTGTATTGTATACCTAAGAAAATTGGTTCTAAGAGGATGTGCACCCAGAGAGAAACAGCTCATTTAACAAATGTCAATACTCAATACTAATGATCATGGGCTGTCGGCTGGGCCTTATGGGCTGGATGGCAGGAGGGTAGGTTATTTCAATAATAAATGTCACAGAATAGAAACAATATCAAAGTCCTGATATAGGATTATTAGCAATTTCAGGACATGTCTGCGAGTGTACAATTATGAATTCATAAATTGTACAAGCATGTTAGTTATGATCAGGTGAACAAACAAGTTAGCCTTTGCCAGGATTGTCATATATAACATGTTATCATTCTGCTAGTCTAGTGCAGCTGCAGTTTAGTGTAAACTTGACAAAAATAGCTTACTATAATCTACAAGAAAAAAGTACTGAGATCTGCTATAAACTGTGGATACTGATACAACTTTGGAAGCTGTACTTGCCTGATAAAAAGGTTGATTTGGACCTTTAGACAGCTTCTCCACATTTGCTGTCTCCATCCAGGACTTGGATTCACAGCACACCGGATCCATGCCACATATCACGCCTCTATATCCTTCAGCATGAGTGCATGATGGTGCAAAATTGAAGTCAGGATGAACTAGAGTATTCACCAAGTCAACTTTAAAACCAAATACTAAACTATGGATTTAATCTCAAAAGCAAATGAGGATGAATAAAGCTACAGATAAGCTTTATCAACAGATTGAAAATGAAGAAACACACTAGGCAGCCTAATTACATAGCTTATATAAAAATCTAGAAGTTATTACGTTAGTTCTGGTTCAATCCAAGCTGATAGTGTAGAGTATTTTTAGTGAATCTGGTTCAATCCCAACTGAAACAATGAAAATAAGGACTTGAAGGTGCCTTTCAAATATATTGAGAATGTTGAAAACAAATAGCACAAAGTGGACGCCTATTGTTACAAAAAGAGGACCAATTTAAAATGCTTTTGAGTGTCCATATTGTGAGCCAAAGGTTTTGAAGAAAATGCATATTCATTGAGATTATGCATAGCTACATAGGACAAGGTGAACTATATTTAGATTGTATAGAAATACTCACCATGTATATTGTGACGTACTTTCTGCCCTAATCGAAAAGCATATTTCACATTTTGATAAGCAAGAGCTTTAGCAGATACGGCAAGAGACTCGGCCTACATGACATTAGAAGTTCATATGTAAGTTACTGAACAAAATAGTCATAAGACTAGCCCCCCTCAGTTTTTTATACCTCAAGTTTGGCAATGTCATCACGGAGACCAGCTGCCAAAGCATAGTTTTCACTGTCAATAGCTTTCTGCAGATCTGCACTGTAATAAAAGGGGGAAATTTAAGGTAGCTTCCAAATGGATCGATTTTGGTTGCCCAATAACTGGTTTTCCCTCATCAGATTTGCTACGGTATAGGTCAAATAACAAAGGGGAGCACCAGAACATATGAATTCTTCATGTGAACAATGTGTATGTGAGAACATGTACAAGTGCACTCAATCTTCTTATTATCATGGAACGCTTGAAATGGTAACATACCGCACACGTAAAAGATTAAGAGCTTTGTCTTGAGCTTCAGTCTTTGGTGATCCCCTTTTAGCTTCACGCTGTCTAATAATTTCTGTTTCAATCTACAAAAGGGTATCTTCTTTAGCAAGCTCTCATCATATGTATTCCCTTCCCATGAACTTGGAAGTGAAGTTTTTATGTTACCTCGGTTAGTTTTTCTCTCAATTGCTTTGCCACATCAAATTGTTCTATATTCAATGCATACTGGTAAAAACCAAACAACCAATAGTGAGCCAGGAAAAATCAAATATTACTCACAGCAGTGTAGTGATGGCATGTTCAGTGTTCAGTAAATAGACCATACACTAGACAATAGATCAATGAAATAATAGGTATATGAAAAACATTAGCAGCTGGAGCAGTAGCTTCTGTTTGTGATAGATTATAGAATGCAACGGTTTAAACAAATAAAATCTGATCACAGGGAGAAGACATCCCCCTGGTTTTGTCTTAAGAGAGGAGTGTTGAGTACCCAAGAATAAATAAGCAACTACTCACTTGTATACGGGTCTGTAGATCCATCTGGAAGTAGAAGATCAAGATATCTTCATTAGCAGACTCACTGCGCTCCAGCCTTGCATCATTGCTACGTCCATCTCCTCCAAACAACCATCTAGCATTAGTTCTTACAGCAGCATTCATTCTTCTTCCATTGGCCTTCATTTGTGGTTTATGCACACACCAATGCAAAGAGTACAATCCCTGGCTTACTGAATTAACCTCACAAGGCAGCCTCACATCGTTCCTTGCGACACAAGCCCCTCTGCAGTTTCCTCCATGGGGTGAGGCAACTGAACCGCATATCGAGATGCCCTGCATTATATGGGCTTGAAACATGGGGCAGTTCAATCACAATTTGCGCAGGTCGGTCCAAATCAATGGAGGTCGCCTGTGGCAAATGGCATCTCCAATTCTGGCAAAGCACGAACTGAATAATAATAATATTATGAGCACAGCAACTTTTGCCTCGTGCACGCAAAACTTTCAACAAATTGCTTAATGCTCTGAAACTAGTAAGGTACTCTGTCAACTATTCAATGCTTGGGACTTTGGCCTCAGGAGACAGGACTGAGACACTGAGTGGTTCACGACACCCTACAAATTGTTACAAGAACGAAGCAAGGAACATCAATTTCTAGCTTGTCTATAGATTGAGGACAATCTGTTATTCTGTTCACAGTTACAGGCAATCACATGGGTCTTTAATCCGCGCACGCGCACGGGCCGCACTGACGCCTAACGCGAGCGCGCAAAGGGGGCAGGCGATGGGGTGAGCACGAGAAGCGTCAGGCATTGGGGAACAAGCACCGGGCCGAGCGGCGACCGCGCATGGCAGAGCAGCGTTGCAGCGGCGCTCCGCCGCGGTGAGCAGAGCTAGATTCTGTATGGAACCGAATTTGGGGAGAATCTTCAATCCTAGTGGTGTGGGGAGGGATAGCTCACTTACCGGAACCGGGCGACTGCTCCTGCGCGTCGGGAACGGAGAGCGCAGGAAGGTGACGGGGCCGAGTGCCCGAGTTACAGCCGCGCCATACTGCTTCTGCAGACTGCAGTTCTGCTAGCTACTGTTGGTGTGGATAGAGAAGAAGGGAGCCTGGTCGCCTCACCCCCTCTCCCCTCACCTGAACCAGTCGCTCTGGAAACTGAAAATACTCGAACCGTGCATACGGCCCAGATACTACCAGTACCAGCATGCCAGGACCACTCCTTCACGGCTTCACCAGTTTTGGATGAGCCCAAGATGCATCCCTCAAAATCTTACTAGCACCCGAGATGTTGCAGGTCCCCGTTTAGGGTTTGTTTGAATGTACGTGTATCCACTCCAATCCACATATGTTGGAGTGAAATTAGCGACGACGCTAGGTCCAGCTTGCCGAGTGCCAGGCATCAGGTAAAAAAATGTTTTACCACTAAACAGCTTCAAATTTACCATATATTTTAAGATAGTTATATATGCCATTTGAGCTGTGCACCAGGGTCATTTCGTCGCTGGCTTCGCCCTTGAGTGAAATGGAATGGAATTTAGTTCAATCCACTTTAACACTCGTGGATTGAGATGAATACATGTGCATCCAAACAAGGCCCGAGAAAATGAAACGATTAAAACGTATAAAATGAAGGTCACACATCTTGCGACCCATGCATCTATTCTCCTACAACTAAAAAGAAAGAAAGTAAGACCACCGTTTCGTGCGACAATCGTCGCTCCGTCGGTCCGCCCCTCCCCCTTGCGATACCGCGAGCTCCAAAACCTTCCTTCCTGGTCCCGTGCGACATTTTTTCACGTCGTCGGCCTGCCAGTCCGTGCGATCCCATGCCCGCCCGCTCCTCCCTGCGCAATCTCCACCGGTTGCTCTGCCTGTGAAAAAGGAATCCGGATTCTCAGGCGCTCCCGATCTCCACCACAGTCCCAACTTCCGCAAGCTCCAGAACCTTCCTTCCCATGCCGTGATATCTCCTCCCCTCTGGTACCTAGAGATGGCCCGTTACCCCATCGCTCCGTCGCCATCGCCGCCCGCCAGCCTCGCTCCTTCGAGGTCGCCCTCGCCGCCCGCCAGCCTCGCTCCTTAAGCGTCGCCGTTCTGCGCCCTCCCTCTTGCACCCGCTCCATCGCCCTCGCCGTCGCACTCCGCAACCGCCCTCGCCAAGACTCCATTGACCGAGTCAATCTCGCCGTGTGCGCCTCCACAACAACGAGAGACCTCATGAGATGCTGCAGCGCCGAGACCCCATGCCCGCCGCGCATCATCGCGCTGTTGCCAGCCGTTTTCGCCTCCCGTGCCGCCCGCACTTGGTCCATGGTTGAGGCGCGCGGGCCGCCAGAGCTCATGTGACATGTGACGAGGTGGTGGGCGGAGGAGAGCTTGGGGCGGCGGCGGGTGGCGGGCAGCCGCGCTACCCTTCCTCACCGCACGAGAAGAAGAGGCCACCCTCTGCTCCTGGTTGATCTCCACTCGACCCTAGGTAGGCCGCCGCCGGCGGCCGTGCGACAGAATCCGGTAGACCGTACGGCAGGCGTGTCTCCAGGTCTCAGCCTCGCTCGTGAACAATTTCCTTGGAAGCACGAAGATAACTGGTAGAAATGAACAAAGATATAATTTTATTCCCCCTTGAATCCTTTTGATCTTCTCATCCTGTTTGGTTTGAGTAGAGGTTTCTTTAAATCTTCTAATCTTTTTTGGTTTCAGTAGATGACTCCATTAAGCTGGAGTTGGTAACGAAGGTTCACAAACCAACATTCAGGAGGTCCACAAATCAACATTGAGGCCATCAAGGTATAATCTGTAAAACTACCCTGGCATCTCCATTTTCTATGCAGCCAAAAATATATCAAAGCCTTAAGTAGTCCCTGAAGATTTCAAGACCTTAAGGCCTTTGCTGCAGTAAACCTTTGCTTCTACAAACTGATTTCAATAGCATGGATACAAATGTGAGACATTAAGGTATAATCAGTAAACCAGCCCTAGCATCTCCATTTTCTATGCAGGCAAAAAAAATCACCTTAAGTAGTCCCTGAAGATTTCAGAACCTTAGGTAATGCCTGAATGTGAGACACAAGACAATAGCATGGATACAAATGTTCAAAACAATTATGCCTACCTTCTAAAGTATGAAATATTGTCTTGCTTTTCCCCAAGAAGCATCAACTCGAAAATAGATTTATTTCCACCAATTCTTTCAAATTTGAGTTAGCAGGTAGTTAGTGGATGATGGGCCATTTGGCTGCTGGAATTGACAGCGCCGAGGGAAGTTTGGATGAATTCCAAGAAACCATGTTAATTTTTTTTGAAACATCAGTATTGATATACTCTCTGTTTTTCCATTTGGTCAAAGTTGTTAACTGTGGTTTGAGGGCCGATTTGGAGGGGAAACATGAAACATAGGAGCAAGATCAATTGCGGCGCTTGAGAAAAAAAATACTTGTGCTTGAAATCTCTTGCATAGATTGCAACAGTCAATGAGATATCACCATTTCCACTTTCTCTTATCTGAGAAATATGACTAGCTTTTTTTTTGCAATTATCCTATTCTCGTCGTCTTATTGAGAATGCATATGCTTACCATTGTATATTATTTTCAAGCATCAGGTATGGAGTCATAGATGAAGTCGGATCGAGTCATACTGTAATTGGGTATACAATTTGTGTGAACATAGGATTCCAGGACTCTTTAACTGAATTCTTTCTGCTGTCACAGTCGGATCCATGATTTTTTAGTAGCTTGACCCTACAGTTGCAGGCACTTTACTATTCTTCTTAAGTGCTTGACATATATTGTAAATAAATTGGTGGATGCACAGGCTAATAGTATGTTTTTCTTAGCAATGTGCCATTCCACATTTTCTGAATTTATACATGACTTGTACTATGTGAAAATGTGAACATGCTATCTTGCAAGGATAATTGTGAATACAGCTTGAAATCAAGATTTATTTTTCATATGTGCACTTTGAATACATCGATGGCAATTTATGTGGCCTATTGGTCTTGGTGATCCGTTCATAACCATCTTTTTCATTGTGCATACTCCAACTTTATTTGTAGTGTTATTCAGTTCGTTCAGGTTACATATTATCGACCTATTTAACTTTTTGTTGGCAATAATGAGATTTATTGAGCATATTATTTCATAGGCACAACATTGCTAAAAGTGACAGATAGTGTTATGGATACGCCAAGGCCAACCGGTGATCGGGTAGCTTTGGGGGACCTTACAAATACAACACATGGAGGTAAATAAACTTTTAAAATATCTTTACATATTCTATGTTCATATGTTTGCAACTCACGAAAATTTATTGAAGGGAGTCATACGCGACCTAATGAGCAGAAGAGACGGGGGGATAGAGAACGGTATGCAATAATGTCTGATGAAAAGAGGAGTGAAAAAAACAAGAAATGCCATGAAAGGTATCAGATGAATAACCAAGGTCGTGTTGATTCCCATAACAATGAGGCTGTTCATTCAACAGGTATGGTGGTGTTGCTGAGTGTCACTTTAAAAGCCATATGTGTTATAATTAATAACAATTTATTTATACTATATTCAAATTTGCAGATGGGAATACAACAAATGGAATAGACGAAAATAGTGATAAACTCCATATGCACTCAACCAACAATAATGGCGCCAATGAATTATCAGGTTACTTATTCTGCTAATAAAAGTATTTATTGGTGCGACGACTGCAATTAACGTGTTGACATAATTTGCTTATTGTATGGATTAATTAATAACAATCAACTATGTTTGAACTTGTACATGGGAATACAACAAATGAAATGGACGAAAACAGTGACTGGCTCCTTAGGTAATCAACTTACAGTAATGACTTGCAACAATTATCATGTTACTTATTAGCAGAATAAAAGTATTTATTGGTGTGGCAACTATAAGTGACATAGTTTGCTTATGGAATGGTTCAATTTGTATTGTATGGTTATATTTGTAGGCGGTCTGGTACCTTTAATCAACATTGGTGGCACTGATTACGTGAATGACATTGAAACAGGTACACTTTTGTATCCATTGCTTGGAATTCTGGTGAATCGTGCCTGTGTTTGTTTATTCCGATTGTGCTTAGACACCATCCTAATGTGCGTTGATTAAAGTGTCATTCCATGATATATAGGTTCGGGATATGCACCCAGTCCCATCAACCG